AAATTGATTGGAAGATTTTTTGAGAACTTGTCCGTTTGTTATCCGATATCATTTATAAGGCAGCCTGTATATATTTTAGTGGAATATCTTCTGGCTCGTGCATTATTAATATAGTTGTATACATATATCTGCTGAAAATATTGTTTATATTATAATAATTGAGTCAATATCATTTTTTTAATAAGGTGTACTTTAATAATTTTTAATACATAAAATACAATTTTTTTTTGTTAATTTATCAACAACTATTTTTCATTATGCTAATGAAAGATTTTAAAATAATTTGGCAGACATATGTGTAAAAGATGTTGTTCTTATTTCATTTGCTATGGGGAAAACATGTTGATTCAGTTTTTTTTTATTTATTTATACAAGTGCCTTTTATGAATGTTTCAAATCAATATAAAAGAAAAAAGTTTGTACTTCTCAGGAATCAGAAATACGTTCAGAAATTCTTTTATTCTATAAATAACACTATTTTGTGTGGAATTCAGAATTCTTATATATTAAATTTTTTTTGCTAAATGATAAGTAAACTAATATAGTTTTTTGTATGCTTCGATTACTTATTTGTTGAAGGGACCCTAGCACCTTACCTTAGGTAACTCCTAAATTGATGTTATTTTGTTACAAATTACAAGTTGCAAATTTACCTTGTTACAAAAATCTCTTTTTTATTACACTTCTTGTTCATTATTATACAGAAAAAATATTTGTATTTGTATTTGACATTTCCAGTATCAAGAATCATGTGTTTTCCCCAAGCGATATTGACTGCATGAACATTCTTATTTATGGATAACACGATTGTGTGGTTTTGATCAAAATCTTTCAAATATTTAATACGACTTACCATATTGTTAATTAAATGTAGCTTTAAAAGTCTTTTACCGTAGTTTTATTTTAAATTTATTCAATTATATCGCTGCATAGCTAAATGATAGATTTTTATTCTTTTATTGCTAAAAACAATTTTGATCAAGACATACAATCAAAGTTTCAAAGAGTTGACTTGAATGATTAGACAAAATGTAATTTTGTTTACAAGTTTATTATTCGATTAAAGTTGTAAAAATTATTTAACTCAATTTCTAAAGGATAACAATCAGCTTTATAACAGTTTTGAAGTTTTTAATGTTCAAGTTTTTGACATTTTTTATTTCATTTTACAAGTTTTATTAAATTTCTTTTTTTGGCTTTTTCCAATAATTTGTATATTATTCAAGTCAGCTATATTTGTTTTTTTGTCTCGATTAATTGTAAAGGTTTCACATGTTTTATCAAGTCGTATAAACGAGTTTAATTCGATTCATATGATTTCATTTCATCGATTAATTAAATAATTTTCTCGAATAATTTTTTTTTCTAAGTCCAAATTTTCTGATTATAATTTTTTCGAATAATTTTCATTTTCTAAGTTCTTTCAGATAATTTTTTCTTCTAAGTCCAAATTTTTTGATTATTATTCTTTCAGATATTTTTTTTTTCTAAGTCCAAATTTTCTTTCAGATAATTTTTTTTTTCTAAGTCCAAATTTTCTGAAACCTTTTCAATTAAGACAGACGAGTTATTTATGCATGCTGTATTATCCCAAAGCCAACATTCGAATGAATGAGGCTCTCACATTGAATATTTCACAACGAGAAAATTTTATTGGGACAAAGTTAAAAATTTTAACTAAGTCCCAGTAATTTTTTCTCGTTGTGAAAACTTCAACGTGGACCTCATTTCATTCGAGTGTTGGTTTTGGGAATTGGTGTGAGGGAACACTAAAAAACATAAAAAAGTTTCAACGCTGAGCAGAAAAGAGAAAAATTGACCTGGGACTTAAGGGGTTTTTTTTTTGGTCCTTTCTTTTCGTTTTTTCTTTTTCAGAAATATTCTAAGTGTCAAGGTCGAAATGCGCCACCTGAATTTAATATTTTGAACTAATATTTGATAATTATGAAAAACTACGCATTCGATTTTTCAAGCACCTTCGGGATTTGAACCGAGAAGCAATGAGCAACCGCAGTGGTAACTTAACCATCTCGGCCATTCAGTTCTTGTAAACCGCTTTCTATTTCTAAAAATATTAAGTCTTATTTGTAAAATGAAAGATATAAGTTTCCTAAAAATGTGGCATTTCGAGTGAACAAATGGCCGAGGTCGTAAAGATACGGCTTAGGTTTGTAACAGTTCGAGGGTCGTAAGTTCGAACCTCATTTATCTGAAAAAAAAATTAAATTCAATAATTTTTCTAACTGTGTAAATAAAAAAGATATATAAATAAATAATTAAATTTATTGAGTGTCAGTATTACAAAAATCGACATAATATATATGCATAAATATATATATATATATGTATATATATATGTATATATATATATATATATATAAGATAAGAAACAGTAGAAGAATAATTTTTAATAAATTTATATTTACGCCTGGTTAGCAGTAAACCAAACCTACTTTGGTGTAATTTAAAAATCTTATTATTTTTCCGATGAATTAACAGTCTATCAGGAGCAGCCAAAATTGGCCAAAATCGTGACTTTCAAATGCAATTTTAAGGCACTTAATGAATGAAATTGATAATTTTAATGAATGCTTTGTGTAGACTAAAGTACAATCTTTATACCAAAGCAAAAAAATTGCAAATTTATCATCGTCTTCATAGTTAAAATCAGCTTCAAAGTTGGCAATTTTTCAAACTTCAATTTGGTACCAAGGGCAGAAGAATTTTTTTTCCAAAAACTGATTCCACATTCGGTATCAGCGCCTCGGAAACTATCAGAATCGGTCAAAACATTTTGAAAATTGCGAAAAAAAATTTCATTTCATTAGTAAAATTTTGATTTTGCAACCAAAGATTTCGATTTTTCGGGGGATGTATGTGGATTTATCCAAAAACGGATAATATTTTCGAAATCAGCGTCCCAAAATCAATCAAAACCAATCAAAACATTTTGAAAATCGCGAAAAAAAGCCGACTTTTTTTTTAAAAAAATCGATTTTGCAACCAAAGATTTCGATTTTTCGCGGGGTATATGTAGGTTTATCCAAAAATAGATAGCATTTTTGAAATCAGCGTCCGAAAATCTTTTGGAATCAGTCAAAATATTTCCAAAATAGTGAAACAAATCTATTTTTTTGCTAAAATTCCGATGTTGCAACCAAAGTTTTTGTTGTTTTCAAGTGGTGCACGCCCTGAAAGCTCATCAAACAGGAGAATTTCGTCCTTGGCGTAATAAAAAATCATCCAAAAATTTTGTCCAATGAGTTCTTGATCATAAATTTCTTTTAGTATAGGGGAGACCCAGATTTTATGGTTCCTGTTCCTTTAAGGGCATAAGTACCTGTAATAAGAATAAATATTTATTCTAAGGATAAGCAGAAAGTTCTTTAAATCATTTAAATCGGACGCTTAGTTCTCTCAAAAATTGTCATTTTTTGCACATTTAGCTCCGTATCTTCAAAATGGCTGGGCCAGCCTTTGCCAAAAACTAATAAACACTTCTCCCAATCATTACTAATTAAATGTTTTTTAGATCATTCAAATCGGATACTCCGTTCTCTCAAAAACTCGATTTTTATTTTCTGCACTTTTTGCTCTGTGTCTCCGTAACGGCTGGACCTGCCTTTGCCAAAAACTGATCAGCTCTATTCCCTATCAATAGGAATCGAATGTTTTTTGAACCATTCAAATCGGTTGATCCGTGCGCCCGAAAACGTGACTGGAAATTTGTATCCATACATACATACATACATACACACACACATCCATTTTTTCTGAGGTATGCCAAAATGTTCAAAAGGTCGAGAAATGCAAAAAATTTCGATTTCGATTTTTGGACGATTACAATAACTTACCCTACGGGAAGTTAATTATAGGTAATTTAATTTTGTGCAAACTTCCTGAATATTTCTGTAACATTTAATTAATGGCACTTATGATTCAAAAGAGTAAACGAGCATATATTTTTTTGCGTCATTTTTGATATAGATATTGAGAATAACAACTTATATTAACTATTCTTAACAAAAATTAATACACTAATAATGAACTAATAACAGAGAAAAAATACAAAAACTTATTTCCTTGTTACCTTTTTTTGAAATATTTCTGATTTTGAATGGTTTTAAAAAGTAAGAAAAGATGAACTAACCCTGAGCTATTCACTTAATTATTAAACGTTTATTTAATTAATTAACAAATTTAAAACACATTTGTAAATAAACCTGTCACAACAGAAATTTTTAAGCCGACGTCAATTTTGACGTTTATTGTTTGACGTTTGACATTTTTAACTTCACAATATAATTCAATTTTGATGTTTAAAGCAACAAATGTATGTATTAAAAATTGTTTTGGACTTAAATCAATATCACAACGTGTGGAAAATGTTTATAAAATAAACATAAAAATAAATAAATGTTTAATAAATAAACTAAATATTTGTTTAGAATTATGCCTAGCACTTTTCCTTAAAATGAAAATAATTATTATGTTCTTACTTCTTAAATCACAAAAAAACACACTTTAACTTTAAATCTATTTAAATTTATGATATGGATAATTATTATTACAATTATAGAAGGAACTTGTTCAACTAAGTCTCAGACTACACAAACTGTTGGTTCATTTTAAAAATATTTACAATCGAAATTAAACATAGAGCATAGAACATATATTTATATAGACTGGTAACATAGCTTTTCACTGACATTTTTATGAACTTCCATTCCCAATTACAAGACAAGTTAAATTAAATAAATATAATTTAATAAATAAATATAATATTCAAAATTAATGAAATACAAATAAAATATAATAAAAATTTAAGTTTAAAAAAGAGTTTACTTTTAGAAGTTTAGTTTTACGCGCCATTTTGAAATATTTGACAGTTCCAAGTTGACAGTTTTAACTTCAGTTAAATACTTCATGGCGGTTTAAAAATGTTTATGTCAAAAATAAAGAAATTACAAAACAAATTAAATTCAGTTGTAAATATTATTATAATTGAATGAAATACAATTAAAATAAAAGATGAATTTAAGTTTATTTATGGAAAACAATTCGATTATTCCCAATTACTTCTAACATGTAGTTGAAATTATTTCAATTATTATTGTGGAAAAATTGTAGGTTGTATTCAAAATTATTTATAACTTCATAAACCACGCCAAAGAAAATATTATTAACTTAAAAAGCCTCTTGCAGAACATACATAAATGCCCAATTACTTCTAACATGTAGTTGAAATTATTTCAATTATTATTGTGGAAAAATTGTAGGTTGTATTCAAAATTATTTATAACTTCATAAACCACGCCAAAGTGAATATTATTAATTTACAAAGCCTCTTGCAGAACATACATAAATAACTATGGACCCATTTGAGGATTCGTTCAATGCCATACTTGCAAATTGCGATATTGACATTCCGTGTCCATCGAAGCAAACAAAGACTGAAAAACCAGAAAATTCAAATGATAAAGAAGATACTGGTACTAAGCCGAAGATTAATAAAAGTCATTGCATTCTAGTTTCACCAAAACAGGTAAAATATATGAACAAATACCTAAAAATGTATTCTAGTTAATAAAGGCTAGTCAAGGGTAAATTTGTTATTTTAGAAAGGAAATCCAATACTAAAAGCGATAACTAATGTCCCCTGGGAGTTTGAAGATATTATACCAGATTATGTAATGGGAAAAACTACTTGTGCTTTGTTTTTATCCCTTAAATACCATAACCTAAAACCTGATTATATACATGAACGTCTCAAGTTACTTGGAAAAAGTTATGAATTGAGAGTGCTTTTGGTCCTTGTCGACATGCAGGTACATGATACGTTAATTAAGTATGCTGATACAAGTTTTTTATAATTTTATTATGCAGGAGCCTCACATACTACTAAAAAATTTAACGAGAATATGCATACTGGCAAATCTAACCCTCATGCTGGCATGGAACGACGATGAAGCTGGTAAAATTATTGAAACGTATAAAATGTTTGAAACTAAACCCCCGGATATTATAATGGAAAAATCTGAACAATATCCACACCAAAAGGTAGAATAAGTTACTTTAATTTACTTCAGTTATTATAATTATTTTTATTACTATTATTTATTATTTTTAAGCTTGTTAGTGCCCTGACTTGTATCAAACCGGTGAATCAAACAGACGCAATGACCATTCTATCTTCTTTTGGAAGTTTAGAACAGATTATAAATGCTTCCGAAAGCAAGTTATGTGACTGTGTTGGTTTCGGTACAAGAAAAGCAATGAAATTGCACAAAACTTTGCATGAGCCGTTCCTGAAAAAACCTGGCAAAAAATCACCTAAGAAAACTGAAAAACCTAATTTAAAAAGAGCTTATACAAATGCTTTAGATGATAAGGAAATTGATCGATGTTTGATGGATGTTGTGGAAAATAAGGATTGATGTTGGATTCAACTTTGTAACTTTGGAAATAAATTATTTTTTATAATTCATGTACTAAATTTTATGTAGTTTTTGCTAAGTTAGGTGAAAAAGAGTTAGACTTAGAAGACTTAGAAAAGTTTTCAAGTTATTTAAATAAATGTAGGAAAATATTAATCAATTGCAAGGTTGCACAATACATTAGGCTGTATTCAAACTAGTTTTATTAAAAATTTTGGTATCAGACTATATAAGACAATTTACTTGGAATTGTTCTTAATTTTATCTAAAAAAGAGTGTCTTTGGAAAAGTTTTTAAGTTATTTGAAAAAATGTGGAAAATTGTCCCAAATCCATACATTACAAACTTGTACAATACATAAGGCTGTGTTTAAAGTAGTTTTATTTGAAATTTTCGTATAGGAGTGTAAAAGACAGTTTGCATTAAATTGTCTTAAATTTTATCTAGTTTCTATTAAGCTAACTGAAAAAAAGAGTTCTGAACAAAGTTTTCAAGTTATTTAAATAAATTTTTGTATTGGAGTGTATAAGACAGTTTGCATTTAATAATTCTAAATTTTATCTAGTTTCTCCTACGCTAACTAAAAAAGAGTGTTTTTGGAAAAGTTTTTAATTTATTTAAATAATTGTAGAAACATGTCCTGCAACCATATAGTGCAAACTTGCACAATGCATAAGGCTGTATTCAAAGGCTTTTATTCCAAAATTTTATATTGAAGGTTAAAAGACAGTTTGCATTAAATTGTCCTAAATTTTATCTAGTTTTTCCAAAGCTAACTCAAAAAGAGTGTTCTTGGGAAAGTTTTCAAGTTATTTAAACTGGAGCAAACTTGCTCAAAGATAGATCATAGTTGCCATCACATTAATAATATAGAAACAAAAGTATGTTTAAAATATATCTATTGAAAAGCAATGTCTAATAAATCATTGCAATTCATTTAATTATTGAGTTTTAATTAAAACGTAATTTAGTATTTATGGAATGCCCTCCATAAACAAATGTAGAAAAATGTCCTGTTCTAAATTTTTGTTCAAGCTCATTTTTGCTAGTATAAATTTAGTTTTTAGTATAAATTTCAAACGGGCACAAAACCTGGTTTAGACTAAGAAAAACAAAGTTATTAGAGTTATTAAACAATTCCAGAGTTGTGCATATTTTTATATTCAATCATTTATTATTACAATAATAAGTTCTCCATCCCAACGACCCCGAAACTAGTTTTCCTTTCTAACGTGCGTCTATTAATAAATTTATTTATGATCCATTTATTATTTATCTAGAATAAATCATGCGAACAATGCATGATTCGTATCATTCGTTTTGTGCATGTCAAATTAACATTTTATCTGTTTCTGACAAAACCAGAAACGTCAAATTGAATTTCATAATCGGCGCGCATGCTCTACTCTAGTCGCTGGTAAAAGACATACGTTATTTGTATATTTTCTTTGAATTAAATTAGTAAAAGGTCTTAGTAAATTCATAATACCATTAAACATATGTATAATATTTAAAAACATTAATGTAATTAAAGACATACTTCAAATATAACATGATCGGTTTGTCATTGTAATTAGCATTTAGAAATGAATCTTCATTAGAGAAATGAAGTAATATTCGTTCACACAGTGAGTGGATTATGTTAAACAACGCCTAAACAAATATTATTTTCGCAACTTTACTCATCATTTAATTGTGTTTGAAGAACTTCATGTAATTAAAATTAACATACATTCATCGTTAAACATTACATTAATAATGTTTTTTTTTACTTTTTCGCTGGCGATGTAATCTCACTCTTTGAACAGCTGTAATCTCTGTTTTGCCTAAAAAATATTTTCCATTTTAATAACTTCAAATATTTATAGAAACTACGAATTATATAGAAATAATTTCTAATCAATAAACTTACGTTTAGTACATGGCACTAATGTTTAATTTGTTTTATTATTTTCAAGGAACAGGGTAAAATATTCTTCTGTTTCAGGCATTGTTCATTGAATCAAGATTTTACTACGATGTAACTTTAAAATGTTTATTTATCTATGTCGATTTCCTTGTTGATATCGGTACGCATACAACGACAGATCTCTATTCACATATGCGACGACTAATCACAATCGGCCCGTATAGAAATGATATCATCGAGAGCGAATGACGAATTATTAGCACTTCCGTTGCATTTGTACGGATTTACGCCCTAGTCGCGCCAAAAGAAGATTTACTTCAAAAACAAGCAGTGAATGAATGTATGTTAAATAAATTACTTCTATTAATCACCTGAAGTTTTTCAAACACAACATGATGAGTGAAATTGTGTAAACAATATTTATTTAGGCGTTGTTTAACATAATAATTCTCTGCATTTTTATAGATATTAAATTATATCAAGGCAATACAGCTTTATTCTATCATGCCGAAGATATATCTTTTCCAGAATTATATTTCAGACACTTTTGAATGTTTAGAGGAAGTCTACATGTTTTTCGTTTATGATGGTTTTTAAGTATTACACAGTTGCATATTTTTATAAATAATGAGGAATAAATTGATATTCAGATTTTTTACTCTAAATAAGAGATCAAGCGCAACAATAGTTTGTGATAAAGAAATTTTTTGTTTGTTTTATATTTGAAAAGAAAAAATTTGATTTTATTACACAACAGTAATGAATTCATTTCGATTACAAAAATGAAGTGTTTTTTAGTTGAACTTCTCTAAGTAAATGAAAGTGAATCCGCAAATTATCTGTTTCATTGAAGTGCTCTTTGGTAAACCACATTTTTTGTTTTTTGGTTTGACGTTAACACAAACAAAGCGGATGGTTTTCCAACTTGTGAACAGGCAACGTATAACTGCCCATGTGAAAAACAATGATTTTCTAAATAATCTATTTGAAATTTATTCCGAAAACACTAAGCGATTGGCCTTGCGACTTGTTAGTTGTCATTGCGAACGCATATAGCAATATATATTCGCATAGCAAGGCGAACTGGAAATTGCAATCGTTTGAAGTCAAACGGAAGACCAGTCGGAATCATTGGTATGTCACCAAATCGCCGGCAATTTTTGATTAAATGGTAATAAATAATCAGCAATTACTTTATTTCTCTAATAAAGATTCATTTCTAAATGCTAATTACAATGACAAACCGATCTTGACATCTTTAAAGTATGACTTTGATTATATTATTGTTTTTAAATATTATACACATTTTTAATGCTATTATAAATATATAATTTATAATTTATCATTATATAAATGTGTATATTGGTTGACACTAATAAATGTGTACATCACGAGTGTTACCATATTACTAATAAACATTATTCAAAATTGTTATATGATGTATTTATTTTTAACTTAAATGCCATCTCGTACAATAGCAAAAAAGTTTTACTTCAATCGATTTACTCGCACTATTTTTTTTTAACTTCTCGTAGGGCAAGTTATAGTAATCGCAGAAAAAGTCGAAAATGGAAATGTTTGCACTTCTCGACGTTTCAAAGGTTTCTGAATATTTTGGCATACCTTAGAAAAAAATTGATGTGTGTGTGTGTGCGTGCGTATGTGCGTGTAAGTGTGTGTTCGGATACAAATTTTCGTCTACGATTTCGGGAACACGGATGAAGTGATTTGAATAATTCAAAAAACATTCGATTCGTATTGATAAGGAGACGTGCTGATTAGTTTTTGGCGAAGGCAGGTCTAGCCGTTCCAAAGACATGGGGCAAAAAGTGCCAAAAACGGTAACTGAGTTTTTAAGAGAAGATTCGATTTGAATGAGAAAGATGAATATGATGAGATGAGAGAAATGATGAATTCATGAAGGTAGGTCTAGCGGTTTCGGAGATCTAGTAAAGTAAAAAAGAATGCCATTTGGCGGTCAAAAATAATCATTAGAAATATGCACATCAAATTATGAGATATTTTATAGAGATTTTAACAATAAGTATAAATTTTGTTTACATTCCTATAGGTTCCGTACCAATGTTTACGCGTTAGACGGCGACGCAGCGCTTACGCGCTTTATATTTTGTCTCTATGCAGTTAAAGCAGTACGATTGCTTTGAAAAAAAGTTCAGATCTTCCAAAATATATCAAAATAAAGAAACTATTTGTTTTTAAACAAAAGTAATTTTTTGTCCAATTTATAGTTTCTCAAAAATCTCATTTTTTCGAAGTAAATTTTTTTCAAAAATGTTAATCGTTTTTAAAAAAATAATAATGTTTGGTACGGAATGTTAAAGCAATTTGCCTTAAGGCACGATGCCTTAATTGCCTTAAGACAGAATTCCACTTACAGCTAGCTTTTTTTTTTGAATAATAATCTCATTCTAGTCATTGGCTCTCCGTCTATTACCCCCGTACGTCTGTTATCTATCTTTGACATTCGCAAGAAATCAGCTGTGCGGTTTCAGGCGAAGAATACGCACACGTCCCCGTTGACTCTCGTACGACGTTCGCGCCGTTTACTCCCGAAAACGTTAGGGACGTAGGTCTGTTCCGCCCGCGGGTTATATGGAGCGCGCCCCGGCGAAATTCGTCTGCTTGCAACTTTCAATCAAAGTGGACGTTAGTTAAATGATAATTGATTTGTAGTAATTGAAAGTTTTGTATTTTATTTTGTTAAAATATTTTGTTAATTTCGTTGATAATAAATTAATAAAAAGTGCGCGAAAATGTCTGCATCTCCTCTGGAACGATTGTCAAAAACAGAGACCATCGAGTTGAGGGACAAACATATTGGGTGAGTGTTTTGAAATTTTTTTTGGAAAATATTTATGGGTCTATTTTTGGATTTTACAATTATTCTAAAATTATTTTACCCCACTTTACAGTGAAAAAATATGAAGTTTGTGTCTTAAGACAAATTGCTGGAACTTCCCGTACCAAAAATTCATTTTTTTTAAAAAAATCTTTACATTTTAAACGAAATTAGAATTTTGAGAATTTTAAAATTTTCAAAAGAAAATTAACTTTTTGAAAAGTTTGAAAT